GTAATACTTGATCAAAACCACCTTTGCCAAGCTGATTCGACCTGCACGGAAGCCTTTCTCGAATCCACGCCGATGCACGTCGATGGAACTCTTAATGCGGATAAGAATCTCAAGTCAAATTCAACAAAGATAGCAGAAGCATCTTACATTTCATAGCTACAAAACTTACCTTATATAGTTGTGTTGTGGACGCAGCAGCCGTCTGGAGGGACTTCCAAGTTGGGTCACGATATAGACGCGAGACTTGCTGTGCACAGTGCTGCAACATGTCATCAGGTAACTAGATATCGGAATAATCATCAAATAATTCTTTTACGATTACAGTCACGAGTTCATCATACGCCTTGAAGCACTCATAGTATAATTAATGGTGTAAAGCTATAGAACTTATAACTGATTATTGTACCTGATCGACAACTCGATGAATATTCAGGTAGCGCGTAGATTTCATATTGTTAGAGGATATAAATGCTAGTGCACTAGTGTGATTAGAACCTTTATATTCAACGTAATCTTGAGCCTGAGCAAGGCATTACATGGTCAGCACTTGCTAGGATTTCAAGTTTATCAGTGACATTTAATCAAATATTACATAAAGTTATTGTGTAATTGGAAAGCTTCGGAATCTCAGTCTATTTCAAGACAGTAAACTTCAAGAGAATCGGATCAACCCTCCCGCACGACTAGTAATTTTGAGTGCTATGCCTCCAAATGTTCATCATGTTCGACGATTTTAGTCGATATTTGAACAGCCGAGATTGTTGATTTCTTGAAATACTAGTTTTCTAGCAGCAATTTCTTATAAGTTTAGTTCATACTAAATATTCTTGACATGTTCGCTACGGAATTTAGAGCCCCACTGTCCCTTGATTTGTTTTCTTTCCTTGAACATTAATTTGCTCTACTTAATGTTCAGTGACCGATGTGTGAATAATTAGTGATTCAGATTTTTGTTAGATTTGGGTTATGTAATTAAGTATAAATTCGAATATGGCAACCACTGGCAATAAGTTTAGAACTAATATTAACAGATTATGTTCCGTTATAGTAGTTTGTCGTTATTCGATCGCCCCAATGCTTCTCCTTCGTCTCTGTAGTAACAAACCCGCGTTGTCATGGTCGGCGAATGTTACTCACAGTTCTCACTCTCCCATATCGAGAGTATCTTCTGTCACGGCCCCAGTTTTTGTAACGTAATTCATAACAGGTCCTCATCTCTTCTCTAAGGCTCCCTCAAGTTTACATGCGCTGGTCTTCGGAATCCATGAAAGGGAGCGCTATTCAAAATCTCAACGCTAATAAAAGCAAATCAGATTTAATAAATTCCATTGCAACTCGGCGCAAAGAATCCCACTTACTTAGTTCATAAAGCAATGTAGGGCTCGTGTAGTACTTGTGAATTGCTAAATTAACTTTGAGTGGCGCAAATTCGGTCCATGAAGCGAAACAAAATCCAAAAGCACCAACAATTTCCAAAAAAAACTTGTAAATATAATCATTTGTAAGACTGACTCAGAGTCTTCATCAAAAGAGGAGCGGAAATAGTCCGGATCTAACCAATAAATGAAGCATGCCAGTATCCTACTTATATAATCGGCTAACGTGTGTCTGTTGGTGTGTTTGTGTGTGTGTGTGTGTGTGTGTGTTTGTCTGACCGGAAATTCATAACTCATGT